TATTAGTCTTTCCACAGCTTAAAGATTTTGAAATGAAAATTAAGAGAAGTAAACCAGCACTGAGATCAAACAGCAACATTTTTGTGTTTGTTTTGAGTATGGGTAAGAATAAATCGGTTCTGAAAAACAGCGTTTATAGTCTCCTTCAAAGTTTATTTTTAAGCTTATACATCAGTTTTTTGTTTTTTTGTTTTTTGGTTGTTTTTTTGTTTTTAATTTGTTTTCTCGAGTTTGTTCGACAATTCACTGCTTGCCTATAAATCTCTCTTTTCCCTTTTCTTTCATCCGTGAGAAAGCGCGAGTCTCCAACTCGAGTCTGCCTGAGGTAAGAAAAAATTTGAATTGAGAAATGATAAGCGAGAATTTCGTATGCGGCTATGCTACTTGGAATAAGAAATTATATTTTCATATCTTTTTACCTAACAGTAACTTATGACATAGATCCTCTAACCTTTCGCGAAATGTCAGCCGTAGAATGATTACGCCGTTGCAATGCAGTCACGACACCAAATTGTCACAAGACTTTTGTAGACCAACGACCTTGTCGGAAAACTCCTTACCTGAGTAAAGCGAAACTTTTATGCGCTGATAATTACTTTCTCATTATTAATGCATGAATAGGAGAGTTCGAGATCTGTAGTTTATGATAATTATTGTAATTCAAAAAAATGTTCTGTTAGCTCGGATTAAAACGGTCAGACGTTTCTCTTAAAACGTCTCAATCTACATCACTTTTTTCAGTGGACACCGCCCTGTAATTAAGCCTGAGTCACGCAATTTGGCATTTTATAAAGTAATTAGAGCAAGTCTTGAAATGAACTATTGTTTTTAGGTGAACGAAATGGAAATAACACTAAAACGCTGTTTGTAGGCAGTTCACAAGCCAATAACGGAATATGCATATCTAGCATGAGCTGACTATTTAAGTCACATCTCAGACTTTATTCATTTACTCATTTTTTCTTCAACTCAATTTATCGCTGGGCGCACGCAAGTTTATGAGCCTTTTATGAAAAAGTGTATGTCGGGAGATTTGGGATACTCAAAGCACCAGCTGCAGGTTTCAATGTACCTGTCATATACTATGGTCAGCGGTGTGAGAAGAAGATGCAAAGACATAGCTAAGAACGGTGCCTCGACATCGGGAAAGTACGACATTTTCGATGCAATGCTCAATGTGACTTGCAGTCAGAACCTGGCTTTGTATCGGCATTAATACAATCGTTCTCCTTGGGCAAGAAGGCCAATTTTGCTATGACTCAAAGTAACGATGAAATGGAGTGGAAATTGTAACGACTATCGAATAGTGTAAATGTCTGGTGTATGAATGAATATGTCAACATCCGAGGAAATAAATTCTTTAACGATGCAGCGATCCCCATAAGTCTTGGCACGACGGGGTTACAATAGCAGGGTAAGAGGATGTGAATTTGATGAAAGACCAGGTGGAGTCAACTACCAAAAGAATTTCGGGGAGTATGGGGTTGTGCGGGGTGCGGAGTGCGGTTTTTTTATATTGTTACGGTATAATCTAACCGACAGGAAAACACTATAATCCTACAAATTCAACTAGTCTATTAAACAAAGAGTGATATTCTCAATAGGGTGCGACTCCCAAAGGCTGCACAGTACTTATCGTTAATGAACTTAATTAGGCCCACCGCAGTCTATATCTTAGGTCACCACTGACCCGAGATTTGTATTGCTGGATATGAACTGTTACGAAGAGACCGCTGTGGAAAAGCTGGTGGAGGAGTTGCTATTTATGTTAAAGATGATTTAAATTTTGTGCGGTATGTTCTAATCTTGAAGCTGTCTGGATTGAAGTATGTGCATTCTCCCAGCGACTGCCTGTTGGTTGTGTGTACAGACCTCCTGACCGTTCTGATTTCTTTGACAAATTTCGCAGTGTTATGGGAAAAAAGTGGCTCACAAAGAAAAATGTTGTGATAGCTGGTGACTTAAACGCTGATCAGCTCTCTCCCAATTGTAATAGTTCTATGCTAAAACGTATTTGTCAGGCCTTCAACTTCCGAAATTTAATAACCCGCCCCACGAGAATTGCTGAATCCTCAAGTACCCATCTTGATTTGATTTGACCAATAATTTTCCTAAAATTTTTACATCTGATGTTCTTGGTTATAATATTGCCGATTACAAGTTTGTTTTTGCTGTTTTTATGTTAAAGAAACAAAACGAACGACCTATTTTGAAGAAAGTGTACAGTTACAAGAAGTTAACTGAAAACAAGGTTGATTTTAAGCATTAACTAAAAAGCGTCTCCTGGTGAGTTTGTTCTGTGTTTAATGACATCACCTGGGCGTGGGAAAGTATGTACAGGGATATCCTTGATGATTATGTCTCTCCACGTGATGTCAAAATTAAGAAGCTCTCCTTGCCTTGGATAAATTCAGGAATATGTCAGGCTATGAACAACAGATACAAACTACTGAGAGCCTGTGATGGTTCCTCTCACACCTGGCACACACCTGGCACACACCTGGGCTAGGTATAGACATGTAAGAAACGAGGTAACAAAGCCAATGCATAAAGAAGAGGCTTTTTATTGGAAGAAAAGATTTGCCGAGTCCAAAGACTCTAAGCCTTTCTGGAAGACTGTGTGTGATGCCGCTGGAAAACACTGGCCCTGCAAAATCGGAACCCTAAAAGGGGCAAATGATGAAGATGTTAACTGAAAACAAGGTTGATTTTAAGCATGAACTAAAAAACGTCCCCCGGTTGGTTTGCTCTGCAAGAGATTTTGAATCGGAAAATTCTTCAACCACGAATTGTGCCCTATATGGTGACATATTAAGTCTGAAAGCTTTTCTTTCGGATTTGGTTACAGTATACACAATTTATCTTTAGATCTATTAACCATCGAAACACGAACAACTACTTATAACTGGAATAAAAAGGTTTTAAAAGCTACAGCGGCTATGATTATAACCAACAAAATGGCAGTAGAAATTACATAACACGGAGAGTGATATGATAAGATCCTGTAACTGCATAGTATGTTACCTTCGAAATGTTTACTTCACATTCTGTTATTGTACACCGAACACAATTTCATCATACAAATTATCATCAAAACGCTAATAAATCAAAATAACTGGAATGAAACGATAGTGTTAAAGCTATTGCTCTGATGAGACCTCAGAAATTAAGTCTTTTCTGTTCTTATGCTAAGGTTTCTTTCCTCATTTTTCACACTCCACGTTTTTCATACCCCCATTCTTCACACTTCTCGTTTTCCACAATCCTCATTTCCACACTCTTCATTTTCCACACTCCGCACTCCAGACTCCGCGTTTTCCATTACAACCAAAGTAGAGAGAAAACAATATGAATCCGACTCAGCTGCACGTTATCAAATTCTTCTACTGCGCAGTACTGGTTTAGGGCTGAGTTTGACGGGTAATGTCCATGGATTCATTTATTAAAGAAAAACAAAAAAAGAAGAAGAAGAAGAAAAGACCCATACAGGAAATCAAGGAAAAAAAACAAACAATGACTTCATGTAACTTTAATTCAGGTCCATCAATTGCTTGACTCGAATCTTACTTGTCTCTTTCTTCGATCACTGAACTCTCCCGGAGCTGGCGTCACAACAGTGTCCATGATTGGCACAGCGTCGTTTCCAGAAAATCACTTCATTTTTATTCTTTGGGTCTCCATACTTTTCTTTGATACTATTCGCCATACTGAATTCGATCTTCTGTTACCAAGTGACGTCAGTGGTTTTTTGTCAAATGGTATTTTGGCCGCGCAATTCGTATACCATTTTTTAAGGGGAAAATGGAATGACTTTAAGAGCTTGTAAGATCGTCAATTTTATCACTCAATTTATTCAAACTTCGGAAACGTGAATTTCAAATGGTGAACTTTATAATTAGCAAAAAAGTTCACTCTATGGTCAGTTGGATTTGCATTTGAAACTGTATCGGCAGTGCGTCCAACAATGTGTAATGTAATGTCGCTGCAAATCCACAAGCTTAAAGTAAAAGTCTGGACTACGACTTTGAAAAAGACGAACACAAATTCGCGATGTTATGATGAACATCAACTGTTCACAACTAATATGATAATATAATAAGATGATGTCTCACATTATGTACAACTATTGCTATGTAGACTAGTGCTCCTCTCCACAAACACCTGCTGCACTACTATACCTACTTTATCTCTTATATTTTGGACATTTCAGAAATGTTTTAAGATCAAATGCAATGTTATAAAGTAAGCGGTGATCCTAACGAAGCACTTAAGTACCTTAGTCCTCTTGAAGGAAAGGCTGCTGAGGGCTTCTCAACTTTATGTATCAAGTCCCTAATAATAAAATCAAGTGAAGCTGTACATTTTTATCACTTAGGAGGGATTCTTAGCATCCCCTTGCCACTTAGTAAATACCATTTCTCGAGAGATTTCTCCTCACTGTACGGACTATTTAAGGCGAAAACAATAAACCTAAACTTAAAGCTTAACAAACCGTTATGCCCCGCGTACGCTATTAATTTAATATCTATGAGTCTAAACACGAGCATTGCAACTAACGATTAGTCGCTTGCTCGAAAACAATTTGCATAAATACACTAACGGTGATCTCTAAATGCGTTTTCAACGACGAATATGAAAAAAGGCCAATTTAATCGACCTATAACTTTTAAGATGTAAGTGTGCCATCTACAGAACATCACATGAAAAGATGAAAGTGCAGATAAAAGTGTTTATAGACAGACTGCCTACTTCAGTACTTACTTCAACTATTAAAGTATGGACGCTGTCCATTTAAGGTTGCTTATGATGTTGCTCTTGTGCATGTCTACATTACTCTGTGATAAAGAGTCAATGTAACTACCTGAAATATTAAACGTTTAGTTCAAGTTCAACTCCTAAGGTGGACCACACTTGAAGGCACATGATGTCAATGTTAGTTCTTAGTCTTGCTCCGATGTTTTCTTGTTTTTAGTTATCCAAGTTTCCTTTTCTGTGAAAGAAAACGAATTCGTCAGAAGTTACTCGTCATATTTAGCTCCAAACCAATGCTGCGTTTTAGAAGCAGAAGAAAACGAGCAGCGGTGATCCTTATTTATATTGTGGTCGCCAAATTTTCCGAAATTGTTTTCCTTACCGAATCTGCTTGGTTTTCCATCAAAATCACATCCGGCCTTTATGCTACCGTAACTCCTTACGTGCCAGGACACATCTTCTCCCTGTCTTGCCAGATAGGCTTGAGTCATTTGTGCCAGCATAATTTTTAGCATAATTTGGCAAAACGAGCATAATTTTTAACTTTTTTCAAAGAAAAGCACTGCCGGCATAATTTACATTTTTACTTCTACGATGTGAACAATTTTCGTAATTTTTGTATTGAATATACTTCTCTTGACTGAATTATGTTTCTAGAATGTTGTTGCTAATAATGGATTGCGCTTACGGTGGATTCATTGCGGTCGTCGTAACGTTTCCTGGTTTTAGGCCCTACTCATACGACTCGCTAGTGAGTTGACTGAGATCCAAGATAAAAGATGGAGTCTACCTCGTCGAACACTTTTAGTTCTTCAGGCAATGTCTCATTAATTAACTCCTCTTTCAACGATTCGCAAGATCATGCTCCAGAAGATCACGTTCGGGCTTGTGTTATGCTTCAGTACAATAAACGCTGATAAGCGTATTTCTCTGCAACCTTACTTTGCCTTAAGAAGCTCCATTGATTGAAAAATGATGAGCAGCATGTTTATCGATTCTGAGGAACAAATGCAGGGGAAACGTGCAACGACACAATGTTTGATAATTGGTTTATTAGAATAATGGGATGCAGTCACCAGATAAGTAATTAGTTGTTTGATTGTGTTTACCCCGGTGCTCCGCCTTTATTTTGCTTAAAAATCAAGTAGCATAATTCTGATGCCAGTAGCATAATTTAGAGAAACGAACATAAATTTCATAAATTTTGAGCAGTGCTAGTAACATAATATGCCAGTTTTACGAGCACAATCGACTCAAGCCTATTGCCAGGGCCGTGCAATTAGAACAATAGGTTCCTCGGATATTAACATATTCGTGCATCTGACAGGTGACCCAGGTACCAAAAATATCATGACCTGCCAGCTTAGCGCGTGCGTAGTCCATTTATTGCAGACCATCCGTAGAAAAGTTACAAGTTGCTTTCAGATGTGTGGAATAAATAACAAGAGACTACATTTTTGATAACGATAGTCGGAATTCGTTCCAATTTATCCGATATCTATCTCAAACTTTCCGCCAAACCCAGCATTCTTGAAATAATTTTTCTTAGCCAAGGAAAACGATTGTATAACGGTCCATACAAAGCCAGGTTCAGACTGGAAGTCGCAGTAAACAGAAAACCGTTCATTGTTTGAATTAAAGATGTCCTGATGTCGAGGCACCGTTCTTAGCTATGTCTTTGCAGCTTCTCGGATGTTTTATCTTCTCGCACCGCTGACCAGAGTATGTGTAAGGACAGGTACAGTTAAACCTGGTGCTGAAGGTGTCGAAACTCTCCCGACATACCCCTCCATTGAGACCAAGATTGGTACAGCTTCTGTCGATGCAATGATGCTTCTCTGGTGTGAATTTTTCTCCAGCCTACAACAACATTCAAAGGATTTTTTAGCCCACCGTGCTCATCGAATTGGGTTAGCATGTGCGTTTTAGCAGCCATCGACAAATCTCACCGGGAACGGATCGAATCGATAACAAACAGTGCGAGCAAAGTACGTGTGCCTGCAACACATAGCGGGGTGCCAGAATAGAGATGAAATGTCCATCAAAATTAGATTTGAAATGCAGTAATACAGCAATGGTTAAGTCAATGATGTCTTTATGAAATTTGTAGTCACTTCTGTTCTGCCCTCCCCTTCGTCCTTTAAGAAAAAAGTTTGCGAGAAAGAGAATGAACCCAATCCTCTCTCAGCCAAATCAGTTTGTTTTGTTTTTGTCTAGACCAATCATATCGCAGACAAAACGGTATGCACAAAGCTTTCTTTGGCCCGGACTCACATATAACACACCTGTTTTTTTAAGGAGTACCGCAAAACTTGATCATGTGGAAATATTTATTTTATTTACGAACTTGAACATCTTGGTAAATTTACTTTGTTTACGAAAGTTCATAAATAAATGAACAAATAATTAAACAAACAATTTTATCTCACCTTCACCGTGTAGCTTCTCACCAAATCATAATAATTTCCTCCTTGCCTCCATTTCATCGCCGCTGGCTTCTGTCTTTATTAGCAACGTTGAGCTCACAGTTATTTTCTTTGGAGCGAGGGAAATAATACATGGATACGCACAAACAGTCATCTTTGCACTTCAAGTGATACTGGATGGCATTGGGGACTGTCAAATTTGAAACACGTGACCCTCAAAAAAAAGCTGCGTACAAAAAGAAGCCTTAAAGCAAGGGGCAGGCATTTACTATAGCCTGTTTCATTTGGTTCTCATGATAGGAATTTCACTTTTAACAGAGTAGATCACTTCAAGATATTCGTCTGTCTAGTAAATTGAATAATATAGACTAAATAACTTAAGTTTTCTGTAACAAAAAATGGCGTTCTTCGATGCCATATCGCCATACAAACCGCCTTTATAAAGACCGAGGAAAAATTTTAAAACATGAATGCAAAGCTAGATATTCATATCATCACGCGCAGTTCTTCAAATTCCAACTGGACTGTTGGTGTTTAGATCACTAAATTACCAGCTGCCGTGTTAAAGACACAGAGATGAACATTGGTTTTTTTAAAACTCACCGAGGACAAACCGAGCTGAAACCTTTTCTAAGGAACGCTTGCGAATAATTTTGTCAAATTTTAACATTGGACGGCCTCATTCTTGTACACTTACATGATTGTTGCATCAGTCGACTGCTGCTTGGAAAATCCTAAGATGAGCCAACGCCCAGTACGTGCTAAGCTTGCAGGTGGAAATGGGCCCCGAAGACCATTTTTCTTTCATCGGCGCCACGTTGAAATTGATAAGTGATGGAAAGTTTTACGTTCGTTGCACACTCAACTTATCGATATTTTCAAGATTTTCAAGAAAAAACGAACAATAGGCCCGGTTGTTATTTGTCCAATTTGTTTTAGCCAACCTAGTTGGCCACTGATATTTCATTCAAAGTTGCAATCGCCCAACGATGTGTAAAGTCTCACTCATCAATTTTAAAAAATTGTATGAAAAATGGTAAAATATGACAATGTAAAGTCGTTCTCAAACTCTGACCCTTTTCTAGAAGGATGTGCACATAAGGAACATAAATGATAACATGGGACTCTTTTTATCATTGATACTCCTTAAAATTATGTAAGATTATCATTATTTAGAACAGGAACCGAATGATATGTATTATCGAAAACTGCATGCCATCCATTTACAGTTTAAAAGCGTCAACTAGAGAAAGCGGAGAGTAGGGTTAGACTTCATCATTGAAGAGTCTACTAGAAAAAAACTGGAAATAATTATAATAACATTGAAATAGAATACAACCCGAAGGAACTTTCTTTCTCCAGGCATTATTGTGGATGTCAAGTTTTTTTCTTTTTTTAATATAGTCATTCACCCCAAACGGAGACACACAGTCAGGCCTAAAATGATCATCCGTGAGGTTTTTTTGCCAAGTAGATAATAACCAGTACTCACCCGTTTGAATAAACCTCATGGAAAAGAATTTATAAATGTCAGAAATTCAAAATGACCACGGATACTTTAAGTCAAAAACCGTAATTTTGCATGGAAATTAGCGTAATTAAATCATTTTGCAATGAAAAACCTTCACAAATGTTACAGGGTTAAATTTTTCGTTTTCGTATCTTCTCTCTAGCTTGTAAAGTAAGTATACTTGATTTAGAAGCCAGAAATAATCGTAAATGATTGAAATTAGATCAATTTTGTACCTGTGCGGGTTGTAAAGCGCTTCATAAACAGAACACGATAGAGATTATGTCATCATGTTTTAGCTTTAAGGGGACCTTCTAATTGGTAATTAGAAAAGTTGAAAAATTGTGGCGAAAACAATGGTTGTTTCTCCAATAAAAATTGTAATTATTCCTTTACTTTCATAATATTCACAAGCAAACCTGTACACTAATGTTACACAAAACTGGAATTCCAAGCTAGGCTTGATAGTAATTAGCAAAGAAGAAGGAGAAATTCAAAGTTTTTGTTGTAAGATCTGTCTCGAAAGGGGCTTTCCTAAATGAACATTTTGACTGAAGCCAGTTGGCGAGAAAACGAAGGCATTTTTGTTATTAAACCACTTTTTTTTTAATCATTCGACCAGATACATAGTGGACTCATTCTCTTGACAATAGATACAAAGTGAGTCGTCTTCGACTCCAAAGATGTAAAGTTTCTTTAGTGTAAAAAGTTGATAGTGGACTGCTGTCATCCTTCTGACTCCTGAAATGTATTTAAAGGCTGGAGAAGAGATCGGTTTTCGAGTCATGTAACTGCGAATGTCTCTTTCGCTCTCAATACAATAATCAAACTGACATCTGAGAGTATGTAAGTTGACGAAACAGCATTCAGGCGATTAAATGAAATGTTATGCTGCCCCTTTCTATAGCTATCAAGTCCTATACAAACAAACTTAATGCAATCATGCAATTCAGTCTTTGTCTTAAGCTATGCAACTTAGTTGCATAGCAACTAAGACCCCAGTTGGTCTTTACCCTTGGTTGTTCTAACTCCTGAAGGTAACATATTTCAATATTTTAGGCTTTTTAATTTAATTTAGAACCATGTTATATTAATTGCATGTGTTACAAATATAAGTTTATATAAAGGTTCGTAAGGCGTATTTTAACATATTCGTACGATAGCTTATGCATACAAGCCATGAATTATTATTTAACTACCACTACAACGCAGTTTTGTTCTTCTTTTCAAAAGGGAGCCAGGATTGCATGAGCTTTGCATTTTTGGTACAAGAAACTCGGGCTAATCTCCTACCTAAGCAATGCAAAGCTAAAAACAATCACAGATTCTAACGTAATTTAGTGTTAATAACTGAGTTGAAAACGTAAATTTGCCACCGTAACGAGTGAAAAGGCTGACGTTTCGAGCGCTAGCCCTTCGTCAGAGCAATTTGCAATACTCTCCCACCGACGCAACACCATAGTTTTTGTGTGGGATTTCCCACACTTTGTCAAGGCCCGCGAAATTTATAGTTGTTTCTTCACAGTGGATTGCACAGCGGCCATTTCTGTTCTCAGTTGTTGAGTTTTGGCGAGCTTATACGGAATTTCATTTTTGTTTCCTGGGGATTTTTGTTTTCAAGGTGAGGATAAGTCATTTTCTGTTTTTCCGGGTTCTTTGCGTGCTTTAACTTTTCAATTTGGTTGTGAGGGCTTCACGGTTAAGCTCTCACGAAAGGCGATTACGTTTGTGTACCTGGTTTGTGTTCTTTCTTTTATAATCTGAGGCGTTTGTTTCATTATTTTTTCAGGTGTTTATAACATAAGATTTTTTCACGCAAGCCAACACGCTGAAACGCGGCTTGTGCTCAGTGCAGGCTGCACAGGAGCTTTTACGCTTTCACAAGCCAACATTTATCGGCTTGGACCTTCGGTGCGGGTTGTGTCGGATTGAAAGGAGTCACTGTACTCTCGCAAGCCAACATTTGTCGGCTTGAATATATTTGTGCGGGTTGCACTTCAAAGAGTCTCAGAGTGTAGCAACGTGTCTCACGAGTGTCTCAAAGTGTCACAAACTGAAAGAAACTACTGTTTGCCTTGAACTGTCAAGAGTGTTATTTATGTTAATAAACTGAGTTTCTAGTTAGTTGGATTGTTGTTGTTGTTGCTCGCTCAAGAACACAAGTAAATATGGGGATCTCCATTGAACTATTTCGTTCAAAGATCAGATCTCATGACAATTTCGTGAAAATAAAGGATGTCTCATCGCGTTTTAAGGATCGGTTTTGGAATATAATGCTAATGACGTTTTATTTAAATGTGTTTTATTTGCTGACACTGAAACAAGTTGTTATACCATACAAAATGTTGAATCAAGTGATGTTTTGGTTTACACAAATGATGTGCTACAATGTTTGTATTCCGTTGCTTATAAGACAAGCAAATGATGTGGAGGAAAACCTGGCCCTACGATATTTGATATCATTGACCCAATGATAATAGTGTCTGAGACTACAGTTAAGGAAATGAAGCACTCTTTGGTGAAAATGCTGGTAAGCAATGTGTAGCAATATCACTGCTATTATTTGTCATCAAGTAGAACATATCAGTGAATGGACTTCTTCCACTTTGAGTAATATTTTGACCATTGGAAATAATCTATATGTTTCTATAAGCAAAGATTTTTATGGCATGCCCCATTCATTTGGGAAATGTACTTTGCTGAGCATTAAAGGCCTTAAAAACCTTGTATCATGTTTGCAAATGTCTTGCTCAGAAGTACGGGTTGTTTCTTTTGAAATCAGAGGTGTTTAATCAGTGATTGTCAACTTGATTTGAAAAGTGGTCGAAATGGCAAAGAGTCATCGGGCAAAATATCGCGCATAATCACTCCAGGTTGACAATAACCATTTTGCCTTGCTTATACCGTGATTGCAGCATTCCTACGTGCGTTAAGTGCTCGTAACTTATGGGAAACACACGCGTGTTACACCAAAAAACCCGTGAGTAGCAGAAAGAGGCGATTACTCGCAATTTCTCGTAGTTTTGAATTTCCCTTTTGTTTTTCAGAACACGCATATACCTGTATTTTTTTTATACGGATGCGATAGGAATTAATTGGAAAAGCATTCCTTGAAATAAGAAGTCGTCGTGTAAGTAAGCTTTGAAAACGGGGTTTTTCTCGAATACATAGATATTATTCCATGGAAAGTGCGTAAGAACGATTTTTATTCACGGGTTGCGATACACCACGAAAAATGAACGAGTGAGCGCAACGAACGAATAAGATTTTTGACACATCGCACTTTCCATGATATGAAGTTTTTATTTCATTCACACTTAGATTTTTTCTCATTGAACAAAAAATTTCAAAGATTGGAAGTAATCAACTTTTCAACGACGAATGTGAAAGAAGACGATTTTATCGAGCTTTTGACTTTAAAATGTAATAGTGTTTTCTACGGAACATCACATGAATAGTCAAGGTAAAAAGTGTTTGCAGAGAGACCGCCTAAAAACGCAAAATTCAAATATTAAAATATGGATGCTGGGTATTTAAGGTTGCCTACGACGTAGCTCTTGTGTTTGTCTACATTCCTTTTTAACTCGTGAATAGCGCGCATGCGCAAGAGCGAGTTATAGATACGATGTGGGGAATAACATTCGTTCGCTCGATTGGTCGATTCCTGTAAACTTGTTTTCGATTTTAGGCTTTTGAGTGCATTTGATAGTTTTTGGCGAGCAATAAACAAACGAAATGGCGACCTTTGTTGCTAAGAATATTGGTGGGGTGAAAAAGAAGCCAGTGATAATCTTAAAAGAGTGTTTTTTTTTTTCGTTTTAGTTTCAACAAGCGGCGCCAGCGACTGGCAGGCATGCTAGGATTCACACTGAAATAACAGAATGACCTTCCTTTTTTCATAAAATTGTAATTCACAATCCTTGAATTTGAAAACAATCCGAAGATTCATTGAAAATATCACTTACTGCGAAGCGCACGGAGTTTACAGATGTTCAAAAGCTTTTTCTGTTATGGCGTGAGATTGAGGGAAAAATCGATCATTACGTTTCGTATCGTGTTTTTCCTGTGTGAAGCAACAAAAGACGCCGGCGACTGACGAAATTACAAGTAAACACGAAAATCAAATAACGCCTAAACAAACAGTTTTAGCTACCGATTTTCAGTGAATTTTTAACGAACAATCTTCTTTTAAGGTTCAAGACAATTTGAAGATTCAAAATACGTATTACGTACTAAAATGCGAAAGTTATACACCACAAAATTGATAAATAGGCCTGAAATGAAATTCGATCTTGTTATCGATTATACGTTTCCTAGCACGTGACTAAAATCTACTCAGGCGGAGATCCAAAATTACCGTGGCAGTCTTGGCTTTGTTATATCACTCAAAACTCGTTCCCGTTTGTCTCATTTGATAAAGAGGGAATCGTTAATGTTTTCATTAAGACAGTATTGCCTTGATTTTCTAATTTTTACAATGATAGACAGTAAATTTCACTTTTCACCCACATTTACTTCCAACCTTTTCTTTTGAACCAGAAACAAAAATGATATACGTTTAAAACACATGACATCATCCACCCTTGTCAAATGTAATAGCATGATCGTTTCAATTTCAATTACTTTGTTTCTTTGCTACATTAGCGAACGCTGAACTACTGCTTGTACTCTAGATACGACAATCAACCACAAAATTCCCTAAACCAGATAACATTAAACATAATCCAAGAAATCATGTTTCATAGTACTCCTCAGAAGTGTCTTAATAGCCTTTTTTTCTTTTTTTAAATTCGTGGGAGGATATACGTCGCAATGTGTCTTTTAATTATCTTTAGAATAGTGATCACAAAAAAAAAACAAGTAATTTCACAACAAGAAGCGGTAGAGACTAGAGAGAGACAAAGGAGATCTCCAGTAGCCTTTAGAATAGTGATTTAATCTTTAAATTGTCTTTCACTAGATACTTACAGCTAGGTGACAAAACTCATTCTCTCGCTATTGAAATATTTTCTTCGTTTCCATAGAGGAATTGACTTTGCCACAGTTAAAAGAGGCAGTTGAACACGAATTATGAATGATGGTCGATCCGGCTCCAGCTCTTTATTTTTGGCTGAACTCTCTATAAAGGAGTCCACAAATGCAAAGGTTCAAAAACTGAGTAACAGTCCAATTGGAAATTACGTCACGCAACCTCCTTACTTTTGTATCCGCCACCTTTGATGATATTTCAACTGGGTTTCTTTTAGGTTATTTGTATATTAAAGGAGCTGAATGTTTGGAATGACTTTTTTAAGCAGTATTAGTATGTAGAGAGAAAAAATAGGAAAACAATTTAAGGAAACGGTACAGAACCACTGAAATTTAATTTACACCACGCACAAAACTAGTGTCCCTGGTTGGCACAGTGTAGTTTCTCAAAAAGCGCTTCGTCTTCATCCCTTGGGTCTCCATCATGCTGTTTAATATGGACAAGTTTTGCTCATAGCATAATTGTTCAAAATTTGCCCAACAAAGCGACGTTTACGGCCAAGTTGGATCGTTAAGATCGTGTCTTTGTCTGCAGACAAATTTCACCTATTTTCCTCTCACAACGTTCGGGAACTGAAACATTCTATGCCCGGTGCCGGAACGATCGATTCTGACAGTTTTGCTGGTCTGAGCCGGGGCACCAGCAACACAATATCGCCCTCGTTGCCGAATTCGACTGAATTCGATTTTATGTTACCAAAGTGACGTCAGCGGTTTTTTTTGTCAAATGGTACTTTGGCCGCGCAATTCTAATACCATTTTTGAGGGGAAAATAAGATGATGTCTCACATTATGTACAACAATCCTGAATGACCTTTACACTTCACTGGTGCTTCTCTTGACAAACACCTGCTCCAACTACTATACCTACTTCATCTCCTACATTTTGAACATTTCAAAAATTGTTCTAAGAACAAATGTGCAATGTTACTAAGTAAGCAGTGATCCTAACGAAGCACTTAAGTACCTTAGTCTTTGTCAAAGAGAGGCTGTTGAGGGCTTCTCACAGTTATGCATCGAGTCCCTAACATTAAAATCAAGCAAAGCTGTACATATTTATCACCTAGGAGAAATTATTAACCTCTCACTGCCACTAAGTAAATACTTGCTTGAAAATAATTTGCATAAATCAACTAATGGTGAGCTCTGAATGTGTTTTCAAAGACGAATATTAAAAAAAGACCAATTTTATCGACCATTCACTTTTAATTAAGATGTAAGTGTATTATCTATTGAACATTACATGAAAAGATGAAAGCGCAGGTAAAGAGTGTTTGCTCAGAGACCGCCTAGTTCCTTCAATTATTGAAATATGGACCCTGTGTATCTAAGGTCTAAGCTTGCTTATGACGTCACTCTTGTGCATGTCTGCATTCCTCTATGATAAAGGGTCAGTGTAACTATCTGAAATATTAAACGTTTAGTTCAAGTTCAACTCCTAATTGGACCAAACTTTGAGGCACTTGATGTCATTGTTAGTTCTTAGCCTTGCTCCGATATTTTCCTACTTTCAGTTGGCTGTCTTTCCTCTTCTGTGAAAGGAAATAAATTCGTAAAAAGTTACTCGTCACTTTAGCTCCAAACCAGTTCTGCGTTGTAGAAGCAGGAGAAAACGAGCAGCGGTGGTCAGGATTTAAAGATTTTTCAAATTTTCCGAAATTTTTTTCACCGGGGACTCCACCTTGTTTTCCATCAAATTCACATCCCACATTTATGCTAGCGTAACTCTTTATGTGCCAGGACACATTTTCCTGTTGTTTTGTGAGGGCGGTACAATTAGAACAATAGATTCCTCGGATATTGACATATTCGTACATCTTGCAGGTGTCCCAGGTACCAAAAATGTCATGACCTGCCAGCTTAGCGCGTGCGTAGTCCGTATACTGCAGGCCATCCGTAGAAAAGTTACAAGTTGCTCTCAGATGTGTGGAGTGATTAGCAAGATACTGCATCTGTGATAAGGATAGTCGGAACTCGTTCCAATTAACTTCCCCCTCTTCAATATCAATCTCAAGGTTTTTGCCAAACCCTGCATATTTGAAGGTTTTTCTCTTGGAAAAGGAAAACGATTGTATTAACGTCCATACAAAGCCAGGTTCAGACTGAAAGTCACAGTAAACAGAAAACCGTTCATTTTCTGAATTTGAGATGTCGTATTTTCCTGATGTCGAGGCACCGTTCTTAGCTATGTCTTTGCAGCTTCTCAGGTGTTTCATCTTCTCACACCGCTGACCAGAGTAGGTGTTAGGACAGGAACAGTTAAACCTGGTGCTGTGAGTGTCACAAATCTCCTGACATACCCCTCCATTGAGACAAGGATTGGTGCGGCAGCATCTGTTGTTGCAATGATGCTTCTCTGGTGTATATTTGTCTCCACCCTACAGCGACATTTAAAGGATGTTTTAGCTCACCATGCTCATCGAATTGGGTTGGCATGTGCGTTGTAGCAACCATCAACAACTCTCACCGGAAACGGATCGAATCGATAACAAACAGTGCGAGCAAAGTACGTGTGCCTACAACACATAGCGGGGTGCCAGAATGGAGATGAAATGTCCATCAAAATTAGATTTGAAATGCAGTAATACAGCAATGGTTAAGTCAATGGTGTCTTTATGCAATTTGTTGTCACTTCTGTTCTGCCGTTCCCTTCGCATTACAACACGGCCGTTAAGAAAAAAGTTTGCGAGAAAGACAATGAACCCAATCCTCTCTTAGCCAAATCAGTTTGTTTTGGTTTTGTCTAGACCAATCATATCGCAGACAAAACGATATGCACAAAATTGTCTTTAGCCAAGACTGACATATAACAGACCTTTTTTTTAAGGAGTACCGCAAAACTTTATCATGTGGAAATATTTATTTTATTTACGAACTTGAACATCTTGGGATATTTACTTTGTTTATGAAAGTTCATAAATAAATGAGTAAAACATTAGATAAATAATCTTATCTCACCTTCACCGTGTAGCTTCTAACCAAATCATAATAATTTCCCCCTTGCCTCCATTTCATCGCCGCTGGCTCCATGTCCTTGTTAGCTTCGTTGAGCTCACAATTGTTTTCTTTGGACAGAGGAAAATAATTCATGGATACACAAAGGCAGTCATCTTTGCACTTCAAGTGACACTGGATGGCGTTTGGGACTGTTAATCTTTCAAACAAGTGACCCTCAAGAATTTGGTTATGGATGACATCGTCATCGATAGCAAACTTGAAGTTTTGACATGTTACTTTTCTCTGTGCCTCAGTGGAGAGGGTCAAATTGAATACAAACAGCACGACTTGGAGATATTGTACGATGCCCATAACAATAGCACTATTAATGTGAAGAAAAAAAGATGCATGATTATGTCATCTGACAAGCATGGGGTAATCTGGGACGAAATACATAGATATTTGGGCCTCTTGCTTAAAAGCGACCTACATTGATGCATTTTTTAAAATCAACTACGAAATTGTTTTCCTTAAAGCATGAAGCGTAACATTTATCTTAATTGCAACGGAAAGAAAATAATCGTTAGCAGTAAAATTGCCAAAATTTTAGTCGCTAGCCGTAAGAGCCATTACCATATTGAGACCTTCTTCTGAGTTAGTAAACGTTCCGAAAGACTGAAAAGAGTGTATTCGTCTCGCTGTGAAGTCGATCTTCACTACAGAATCACCTATTTGCGGAATTTCGAAAAGAAGACTAGGAAAACATTCAAGCCTAAACGAAATTGCTCCTCGACGATTTGTGTTAGAAATGCTCTACAAAAGGAGCCATAAACGTTCCCTGCAGTTTAGCCTAAGCTGAACACAGTTTATAGAGAATTGATTGTCAGCTCAAATGCTAAGCTGATTTCTCTTCATTGTCTAAGTTGCAATGGAGGGAGATATATTGGCAAATGGAACTGATGTAAATAAATACACGAACCAGTAATTGCTGATTAAAAGTATGTCTGCTACAGTCACTTGAATACAAAGTTAAATCCGCCCGCATGACGAGCTTTGCGTCGGAAAAAATTTTTATGCAAATTAGCTGGTTGCACATTCAATGTGCAGCCAGCTAATTTGCATAAGTAAGTCAAGCCAGAGTTTGACGCCTCTTGGTGGCTGAGGTGTTCGATGAACATTCCAGGACATCCGATAATCGCTATAAAAAAGTTAATAAAGCTCCCCTCCAATGAAATGGAAAAAAACGCAACTTCCGATGATTACATTTCTAATCATTTTCAAGATACAACTCTACTCTGTTCGCTCACTTTCCAGAAACAAGAGTCCAGAGAAATGCCTCATACAAACTTAACGGGTCTAATTCGAAAAAACCTAAGGGGCGGCACGCTAAGTTTATTTTCTCTGTAGGGACAATAAATGTCTTAAAGAAGACAACAGTTAATCGTTAACACAAGGTCCAATAATAGTCCTGACCAAATGTTAGAAATAAACATATAACAGGAACACTTTAAAACACGTAAAAAAGAAGAAACTTAAAAATAGCCTAAAAAAGCGGCATCGGTAAAGCTGATTTCACCTCCATGATCGAAGACCTGGGCCAATCTAAGGCTAACTCCGACAAACCCTTCTTTACACAGGTCATGGTTTTGAACTTTTAAAGTCCAGAAACTGTGTTGATTAGATAATCCAGAGAATACACATCGCTTTCCATTGATGGTCTCCCCGTTCAGTCTACAAGCTTCGACGCAATGCAACTATTCTTATAATGACCTTTTTTGTACGAAGGTTTTGGAACGGCATTTTTAGCTTTACCGAAGACATCACTATTGCCAAAATCGACTATAACAGGGGAGAAGCTGGTCTGAAACACCGTTATCGCATTTTAGGTCATTGTGAACAAATTCACACGTATGAATATCGTCTTACGCGTCTGTCGTGTAAGGAGGGTAAAGACCCAAGAGGGTATAGAAGAGATTAAAAACAACCCTCAGGTATACACTATCCAGAGGGTATAGAAGAGATTAAAAATAACCGTCAGGTATATACTACCCAAGAGGGTATAGGAGAGATTAAAAATAACCGTCAGGTATACACTATCCAGAGGGTATAGAAGAGATTAAAAATAACCCTCAGGTATACACTACCCAGGAAGGTATAAAAGAGATTGAAAATAACCCTCAGGTATACACTACCCCGGAGGGTATAGAAAAGACTAAAAATAACCCTCAGGTATACACTACCTAAGAGGGTATAGAGGAGATTAAAAATAACTCTCGGGTATACACTACCTAGGAGGGTATGCAGGAGATTAAAAATAACCCTCAGGTATACACTGCTCAAGAGGGTATAGAACAGATTAAAAGTAACCCTCAGGTTTACACTACCCAAAAGGGTATAGAAGAGATTAAAAATAAACCCTCGGGTATACACTACCTAAGAGGGTATAAAACAGATTAAAAACAACCCTCAAGTATACACTACCTAGGAGGGTATGCAGGAGATTAAAAATAACCCTCAGGTACACTACCCAAGAGGGTATAGAACAAATTAAAAACAACCCTCAGGTATACACTTCCCAAGAAGTATAGAACAGATTAAATATAACCCTCAGGTATACACTACCCAAGAGGGTATAGAACAGATTAAAAATAACCCTTAGGTATACACTACCCAAGAGGGTATAGAACAGATTAAAAACAACCCTCAGGTATACACTACCCAAGAGGTATAGAACATATTAAAAATAGCCCTCAGGTATACATTACCCAAGAGAGTATGGAAGAGATTAAAAATAGCCCTCAGGTATACACTACCCAGTAGGGTATAGAACAGATTAAAAACAACCCTCAGGTATACACTACCCAAGAGGGCACGAAAAATTGAATTCACATTAATTTATATTAGGAGACCGCTCTTTGTCTGGACTCTTTCTTTTGACTGAAATTTGAGGCATCCATCGTTAACTTATACAATTATTATCCTTTACTAGTTCCCGAATGTCGTTGTCAAGCTCGGCTATTCTTGACAGACAAGAATCTTTGCAATTTCCCATGATTTTTCGACTGGAGGCATTTCCCGCCTAAAGTATACGGTCGAGAGCGATTTGATTTACCGCATCAACAACAGGATTATATTTTGAGACCTCGCGAATCCATCTGCTGGAATTCTCCCCGTCTAATTAGTCCGGCACAGAGACCAATTGAAGATATACGAATATGTTGTTTGGTTACCTGGGGTTGAACGAACAGCCTTTGTTCGCGCGCTTGAGACCTGCTGGCGGGACAGAACGTATTGTACTCTACACTATCTTTCTGGTGAGAGAAATATAGCGCCTCTGTAAGATGCATGCTGCGATTTTTTTTCGGGGCCAAAGCTCATCAAATGTCAGTGAAACAGCCGCTGTAATGAACTTTATCAAAAACTGACATTCATGTATGAAATCGCCCAAGTTAGAGGAGTGTTTCTTGAAACGTAAAACTTTCAAAAGTTTCGTGTGTGTCCTTTACAAAAAAAAAAAGCGTTTTGAAAATAAACAATGATAAAACTCGCAACTAACTTCCATTTCTTCTTTACCACTTGAGTACGGTGTATCAAAACTCTCGTTAGAGCTTGCTGAAGGTTGGTATACATCGCTATCGGACATTATTTCAAAAGACAAGTTACAAGAGAAGTGAGAGATTTGTACTTTTCAAAGTTTTCTACTTCATCACTCAATAATTCGTTACCAGTCCATGGATCACTTTGGAGACAAAGTAAGAGCACTTTAAGGCCCGAAAAAACCTAGTGTTAAGTTTTTTTGACATTTTTCTTTTCACGGAATTGGTTTGTACATATTATAAGCTAAATGTTTTTGCGAAGCAAAATTCGCGTAATAGGCACTTTGATAATTTATTTTTAATTAAGTAAGGAATTGCCATGGAAAGTGTCTGACGTTCATGTATTAAATAAAATCGCCTAAGTTTAAGGAGTGTTTCTTGAAACGTAAAACTTTCAAGACTTTCGTGTGTGACTAGTAATTAAAAGAAAGCGTTTGGAATTAAAGAGAGATGTCAGAAGGTTTAGATTTACAAAACCGCAAAAAGAGAAAGAAAAGTAGCAAAACTGCCAAAATTTTAACCGTTAGCCGCAAGAGCCATTACCATGTTGAGACCTTCTTCTAAGTCAGTAAACGTTTTAGAAGACAGAAAGGAGTGTATTCGTCTCGCTGAACAGCATCACCAATTTTCCAATTTGCCGTAATCCGAAAATATGTTAGACAATTCAGTCTTGACTTCATTTTAAGATTGGCAAATGGAAGTGATATGAAAAATAAACGAACCAGTTTCAATTCCTCTACTGCTGTAATTGCCGATTAAAAGTATGTCGGTTACAATTAGTTGAACGCAAAGCTAAGGTCGAAGTATATCAAATCTCAGTGAAGCAACCGCTGCGATGAACGTTATCAAAAAGTGTTTCATGATGGATGTTTCTGTCTGACGTTCATGTATTAAATAAAATCGCCTAAGTTTAAGGCGTGTCTCTTGAAACGTAAAACTTTCAAGACTTTCATGTGTGACTGTTAATTAAAAGAAAACATTTGAAATTAAAGAGAGATGTCAGAAGGTTTAGATTTACAAAAGCGCAAAAAGAGAAACCCTACCTACCATCAATTGTTAAACGATCCTTTTTCAACGATGCACTTGATGAGTATCTATCCTCGACAGAATATTCTCTAAGAATGATTTGCAATGTATTTTTGCCACATGGATATTTAAAGCAGATCGCAATTTATTGTTTACCACAATATTTAAAACATTGATGAACGTATTAATGTAAGCTTTCTTTCCATCAGCGAATGAAAATATCTCAAGTTTTGCCACACCTGCTAATGGCTCAAACTTATGGCTGGTTTCTTTTCGAGTTTTAAGAAAAATTATTAAGTACACACCAGTCGGCTACAAATCAAACAAATCTAGCAAACTCTTATAATATCCGTAGACAAAAAACACAAATAACCATTTGTATTCACTGGAAAGTTCACTCTGTAGGGGTAGTTAATAATTATTTACCAACGTAGTGGTAGATATCGATGGAGATTATCTCTATCATTTTCACCGACACTCGCTCCAGGTAAACAAGTATTTTAGTATATGCCTGACAGAAAAAAAAAAAAAAGTTATTTATTTCAGTCAATAAACTGAAGAGGAGTCTGAAATTAAACTCTCGACGTGAGATTTGTCTCTACGGCTGAGTGGAGCTGAGTGTTACTCGCTAATCACTTCCTAGCTAGCCAATCAACGTGACGCAAAGCACTTTTTACCGATGTGGGAAAAACTAAAATTAATTACTCACGTTCGTGATTACAGCCTCATAGGATGTTTTAAAAGAGAATCGCAACGTTTTTCAAAATATTATGAGCTCTCTTCGTGTTCCATTGGGGAACATTAGCAACCCTTTGTTTCGGTGACTATTGATGTTAAATGTTTCGAAAATTGTAATTTTTGAACTAAATTTTGAATTGGTCGATTTTACCTCCGTTTTTCGAAAAAAAAAAATTTAGAGCCTAAATCGGAAAAAAAGAAATGCGTATTCTTTTTTCTACAAGTAACGAAGAAGAGCTACGTACATAAACGCGCTGGAAATTAAAAGTCTAGAATTTACTATAGCCTGTTTTATTTGGTTTTAATGATAAAATAGATACTGCTTTTTATAGAGTGGATCACTTCAGGATACTATTCGAATAACTAAATGTGTTATTAATAAACTTTGGTCCAGACTAAACAAATCAAGGTTACTGTGCAAAACATGGTGTTCTTCGAAGAAATATCTCCATGCACGCCACCTTTACAAAGACCAAGCAAAAGTTTACATAAATGTAAAGCTAGATATTCATAATAATATGAATATATGTTTATATTGAATAGGTTTTGTTTTTCTATGGCATTTGAAGTTCTTCAAATGCAGACCATACTGTTGTGCCTATATTATTGAAATGCCAGTGCCGTGTTACCACAGAAATCAAAACAAACTGTGCCTCGTAACTTAAAAGAAATTGAGATAAACTTTCAAATAACACTGTGATACATGCACCAATTGCTTAAAGACATACAGGTGAACATGAGTTTTTAAAAGACACACCGAGAACAAACAAGGCTAAAAACCTTTTCGAAGAAATGCTTCCTAATAATTGTTCAAATTTTGCGGTTGGACGGCCTCGTTCTTTTTCTCTGGTTTTAAGCGTCTACTTTTTGCCTTCTGAGGTATAATTCAGTAAATATTTTTTAATCGATACGTCTTTGGAATTAGACTTCCGCTCGAGAGACTGTCTATTCATTCAATCAATCAATCAAACAATCAATTTTATTTACCCTCGAATTTACAGTGTAGCACTCGGGTGCTAATATCTTCAAGCAAACTACATTATTAAATGATTATAATAAAAAGATTAATTCTATAACAAATAGGATAACTAGATAACTAGAAAATTATCTTGATGTAGAGAAGTGTGCAGTTCCTGCCCTTTTAAGTAAATTATTGTACCTAGTAGATAACAGTAAAGAAGATAACAGTAAAGAAGTAAAATAAGAAATAGTGCGGTGATAGTCAGGAAGATAATTCCAAGATATTGCTGCCAAGTAACTAAAGGAATTGATACCATAAGAAGTGGTCAATGGTTTAGGCAAACAGAGTATATTATGTCATCTTAAAAAATAGGTGCTTGAGCGCAAGTGAAACATATCTTTTAAATATCTTGGATAATCAGAAAAATGTAGACATTTAAAAATAGTAAGAATCATGTTTAGTTAAACGCTTGTCCTTAAGGTTTACAGTTCCTGCCCTTTTAAGTAAATTATTGTATTCAGAGTTTAAATCCTTGAAAATAAATCGAAGAATACGTTTGTTTAAAATATCCAATTTATCAGAATCTTGTTTACTACAGAAATAACACACCATAGAACAATAATAAAAGTGAGGAAGTATAAATTTACATATTTATCCTTAGCACCGTTAATATTAAAAACACGCAAATGTGATCAAGAACACTATCTCTTGATATCAAGAGGCCAGATTTTCAAGTTAGAAAGTTTTTGAGAGAGTAGGTCACTTTTAAATATTTATCAAACATTTGAACGCGCTATTGAAATATATTTCGTATGCAAAGTAAATTGAATAAAAGTAACAAAACACCAAAGGGTTATTGTGACATATCATAGAGTTTTTAAGTTATGGTGGCATGAAGACTGCCTTAGTAGAGATAAAGCCACGCTGGGTATGCTAAGCTGATTTCTCTTCATTGCCCAGGTTGCAATGGAGGGAGATATATTGGCAAATAGAACTGATATAACAAATATACGAACCAGTAATTGCTGATTTCGGTTGCTTTTAGTTGAATGCAAAGCTAAATGTCGAAGTATATCAAATCTCAGTGAAACAGCCGCTGCGATGAACTTTATCAAATACTGACAGGCGAATGGCAAACACACAGAACTTTATCAAAAACTTCATGTATCAAATCGCCCATCGTTGAGGAGTGCTTCTTGAAACATAAAAGTTTCAAAAGCGTTTGGAAAATAAGAGAGATCTCAAAACGTTTTGTGTTACAAAACCAAAGAAAGGGAAACTCTACCCACCATCAATTGTTAAAAGATCCTCCTTCAACTTTTTCGGATTTACCAGGTAATCGTGTTCTACCCGAAAACTATAAATAAATGACAAGGTAAAAGCGCCCAAGAAATATTATGAGACCAAATCTTTATTCAAAGAATCGTGAATTTTCTGCTCCAAAAGCAAAAAATTTACTAACAAAAATTGTTTAGCTTTGATCTAAAAATTCTGAAAATCGTACGATTTCTAAAGCAAAATCTCCTATTAAACAAAACTTTGGTACATATCAACGCTTCAAAATAATATTTTCCGTTCTAATGAAGAGTTTCCAGCGTCGCAAAGCCTCAGTTGAAGTCAGAAGACTTAGTTCTGTTCCATAATTCTCATCGCGTTGGTGAATAATCTATTGTCAACTCCAAAACTAATTACGTCGCTCGAAGAGCTACATGCTCATTGTTTTTTTCGAAACGAGTCTTATTCAGCATATTTTGTTTTCATTTTGAGCTACAAAGGTCTATCTCAAGCGGGACAGAACGGAAAAACAATCTTCAGTGATAGTTTTGAATTCTCGGGGCTGAACTAAACGGGACTTTTAGCCGAAGTGAAACTGCACCCTTCATGTTATTGATGCACCGACGAGCATCAACTATACATTCAGTAATTTGTTATATATTTAAACTTTTCCGTAAACAGCCATATGGCAAAAACATGCTGTTGTATTCGGCGCGTGGGTAACAACCGCCCAATTGTATCCCGGTCGGGA